GTGTGCCTTGGCAATCCAAACATGCCCTGTTGTCGTGAGAGAAAAAGTGCAGAAGGAAACATCCATTGAAACTCAGTGTGCTGCTCTGTGATGCTAGTTCAGATACTTGGCATCTCATCTTGGGTGCAAGTTCATCAATGTTTGGGCTCAGGCTCTGAGCTGAGGAAACCCTCAGGGTTGAGTGAAGGTGTGCTTACAATATACCGGCGGGCCAGATCTAATAGTAATTAAACATTATCCTGTGGGCCGAAATTAAATCCAAATCCCCTTGAGTTTGACACATGTGCATTAACGTAATACAATTGATTTAAAACATTTGACATTATTTAATAAAACATTTTCCCAGGCCCTTGCATTGTAAAGGCTTGGTGTTAGTGTTGGGGGGGGCATCACTTCAGAAGGTGTCTCAGCTGGTCCTGTAGGTTTTTTGAGTGCTCTACACTGCAGGGGGAGGGGGAGAGGGGCAGGTCATCACTTTGTGTTAACTCTCAGTCTGTTTCTCATGAGGCATAAACACAGCGCGGTGGGGAGACTTACTTCTTCTGGATGGCCTCCTGCCTAACAGAGAGACAGACAGACAGTCTTAATATTCACTTCCAATAGAGCAACATAATGTCTGGATAAACAGCTGGCCGGTACTCACTGGTATTGTAGATGTGTCGTGATTATGGACATTTTTCTCAGACTCTGGAAGACAAATGATAATGAAGACATTTTTGTAATTATACAAAAAGAGCAGAACAGGTGTCAACACAGTGAGATGGGATGTACTCTTCAGTGTGTGGTACTGTTGTGTGTGTCTATTGTCTGTGGTGTGTTCACTGACTCTGTGCTCATACGTACATCCTCAGAGTGAAGGATAGCGTCCTCCTGGATCACCATATTCCTTGCTGCTTGTCCCAGAAGCTGAGAGAGACAGAGACACAATGTTCATGACCCTCTCATCTGCCAAACTAATAACACTCAAGATTCCTGTCTTGTCAGGAAAAAAACATCAGTTTAATGTCACAGAAGACAAAAAAGCAGACACTTCTCAAAACGGGAATGCAGGAGCCAGCGAATCTTCAAACAAGAATTCAATACGTCGACTAAGCGTTTATAATGAAGTGAGATGCAACTAGAGGCAGAACTGCTTATCTATGAAGCAGGAATGCTAATGCTAGCAACATGTTCAGTAGATATATTTTGCCAAAGTTTTTCCTCAAGGAATCTACTTAAAGGCAAAATGCACTTTTTGATGTCTTTTATACATAAATCTGTGTCCCCAGTGTGTAAGGAGACTCACAAAGTGTCAGAAAATACAACCCTAAAAGAAACAAATCGGGATGCAAAGCAGATCCAGGATTTTTCTCCTCTGACGTCAATGGCGAAATGTGGCACACGTGAAACGTCCCAACCTATCGTCTCCGAAACACGTGACACGTCCCAACCTATTGTCTCCGTATACTATCGTCTAGCTGAATCCCCTCTCGCAGCTGTGTGTCTGTGTATTCAGCAGGATGTCTGCAGGAGGCACTAGAGTACATTTGTTATATATAATACATATAATGGCACTTTTCTAGCGGTAAACACTAGAGATGTTAAGATTCACCGATTCGCATCGGTGCACCGGCATAAACGTTCAAGATGCGAGTGCACCGGTTGAAAGAGTGCACATCGGCTACAGTTTGGGTTGAACCGGGTTGAACTCGCGATGCATCGATTGCGTAGCGTCTTTGCATCGGTAAAAAACCGATTCATTCATATAAAATCCCCTTATCTTGTCAACGCTCAGCAGAGACGATCTTTGATATTTGCTTCGCCACTACGGAGAACGAGAGTCTCAGTTATCAACACACACGGAAGTTGAGGAGAAAGAGAAACACAGCGCACCGAAAAATACCTACAAATCAAACGTTTGGCAACACTTCGGATTGTTCAAGAAAGACGGTGTAATAGTCATTTATGCTATATAGTTGACCGCAGGTCATGGAGAGTAATAAGGTATCCGTAGACCTTTGTATGAGGTATCTTTATTACTTAACAGGTCTACAGCCATGATACATAGATCCGTCCTAGATGCGGACTTGCATACACACAGTATCACTCCGCAGCCGCACCCCATCAGTAACGTCCTGATGGTATATGTGCGCGGCACTATTACTACAGACGGTCAACTTGAAAAATCACTCGCAAATTGTTAACGATGCCGAGCCGCTTTAAAGTACACAAGTAGTACGAGGAACTTAGCGACGCACATAAAGAGGCGACGTGGGGTCTGCGGCTGAAAAGAGAAACCTGAAAGTGAGACATATGAGTTAAATCACTCAGTGAGGTGTTCTGTCAGAGAGAGGTGTTTAGCTTACAGCAGCCTGTGACGGCCAATAATAATTTAAATGTCTTCCTTACTGTAAGCAGTTATGAAATACCTGTTTGTGAAAGGTTATTTGTTTTCTTTATTGTTCAGATAGAAACCACTGCTTTCTGCTCACTGGTGAGTTAGCCTCTGAGTGTTAAGCACATCAGGCTGGCAGCTGTATGGGCATTGCTCTATGGTAGCTGTTATTTGCACATTGTTAATCATGAGCAATGCATCCTTACATTGTTTAACTGTGAGGTGTTATACAATTGTACTCTGGAGAGCTTTTAAAGGTAAAAAAATAAACGGCATGATGGGATGTGCAGTACCAAATATGTAAAGCACTTTTTTGTTAATGTATGATTTGCTGCATATAAGGAATAAAACTAAAATCCTCTGTCGTACCATATTGAAGTATCATTATTTTTGCATCGTGTTGAATCGCATCGTATCGCCCCGAATCGCATAATGTTGAATCAAATCGTATCGAACTGTATCGCAACAGGGGTGAATCGTATCGTATCGCATCGCCTGGTGTTTCCAAGGTATCGTTAATGTATCGTATCGTGGCAACGTATCGAGATGCGCATCGCATCGGCCTCAGTGATTGAGATGCACATCCCTAGTAAACACTTAAGAAAGAACATGTCAAGCTATGTGCTGAATCAGAAACAATGCGCTGCGTGTTTTGGGAGTAATATGGTCTCTGTTTACATTAGCAAGCATCGCTAACACTCAGAGCTAACGCTGTACTGGAGAGAATATGTGACGCGCTCTATCGAAATCAGTCGGAAGTTGCAACGGCTCATTTAAAAATAAACGTGGATTTGCGTAAAAAAATTGTTTTTCGGGGTTCGGGTGTTTTGTTTGATTTTAAATAAACAAAGTCTATAATAATAATAATATCAATATATTTCATTCCAAAATCACACGATAAATACATTTTTGAAGCTTGTACATTTTCTTGTGAGTGTTTTCCCCAGGAAACAAATACAATACACACAAATGTAAAAATACACACACACACACACACACACTAGGGGCCGTAACGCGACGCAGATGGACCCGGTGGAATCTAGGCCGTCGCGGCCTTGTTACGGCTCAGAAGCGTCCCAGAAGCGTCTCGCCGCTGGGCTCCGCTCGAAATAGGATTGAAGTATATTTTCCGACGCGAGGCGTTGCAGAGGCGGCGGGCAGGAAGTGGACCGGTGACAGCATCCGGCCCATCCCCCAAATAAACTAATTTGCAGACCCTATCCCTCCGTAGTCCTTCAAGTCGGAGGAGAAAAGCCAGCGTTCTCCTCCGGTTTACAGGCACTGTGTAAATTATATATTGTGGTACCGTGAAAAGGGAGTCGGAGGCGGTGTATTAAGAATTGACTTCCACACTTTATTATCCATTAAACTCTCGGAGGTTAATACATGAACTGCTCTGCATGACAAGCTAGCAGGAAGGATTAGCTACAGCTCAGTGTTCCCACTAAAGGGTCCGTGTGGCAACACAATACAAGAGGTGAATTATGTCCAATATGGTGTCACCACATAAGCCCCCCCGGAATTCACTCATAAACAAAATCCGTATGACGGGGAGGAACAACACGCCTACCCCCACGAGTCCTGCGTAACGGAGCCGGTACAGTGACTTCTGCCTGTACAGCCCCCGTCAGAGGAGGGACCGGAACAACAGGTCCGCACTCCCTGACAGGAATCAAAGCCGGGGGGCGGCCCCGTCTCGGCGGTCGAGCCAGCACCACCGGCTGGTCCACGTCCAAGTGAGCAGCCTTCACCCGGTCAACTGAGACGTGCTCAGCCTTGCCGCCCATGTCGAGCACCAGGTGCTTGTCCCCGTGCTCCAAGACCCAGAAAGGTCCATCGTAAGGGGGCTGCAGGGGGCTGCAGGGGGCCTCTGTGTGCATCGTGACGGACGAAAACGTGCCCAGCCGAGCGTAGCTCCGCGGGAACTTGAGACCTTGGTGCTCCCTGCTGAGTGGTCGGAACTGGAGGGAAAGCCTCCGCCGCGTCCCGTAGGAAAACCCGCTGGGCCGTGGCAGACCAGGGGAACTGTCGGAGCGGCGGACAATGCCCAGGCGCTCCATGGTTGCTGCCCTCGCCACAGCCAGCTTAGAAGGGTTCAACCGCCGGGCCCTGGCGTAGACAGGATGCCCCTCGGTAGTGATGTGGTGCTCCACGCCATGCTTGGTGGTAAGCGCAGAGAAGGTGGGCAGCAACAGGTCTGGAAACTCGGCCAACAGTCTGAGAAACGTGTCTGCCCCCGACAGCGAGCCCGAAAGCCCGTCGTACGCTGCGCTGCCAAGTGTGCACACGAGGGAAGAAAACGTTAAGGCATCAACCAAACGCCTATTCTTAACGTCCATTAAGAGTCCATGAGCACACAAAGAATCCGCTCCGAGGAGGGGAAAAGAAATGTCCGCTGTCACAAAATCCCAGCTGAAATGCTGTCCTCCGATGCACAAACACATAGGCCTCACACCGTGCGTGCGAATGGGACCGCCGTTAGCCATTGTCAACCGCGGTCCGTGCCCACCGCGGGTGATGTCTTCACTCGAAGCGGGAACTATGCTCCGTTGAGCGCCCGTGTCACAGAGAAACAGGCTCCCCGAAATGCTGTCGCTGACGAAGAGGAGCCTGCACGTGCCGCCACTACTGAGCGCCGGCCCCTCCGTTTCCCGGGGCTTTGTAGCTGCATGGAGCGATGCATTTCTTAGCCATTGTCCCGAAACGTGCGTGGTAAAAGCACTCTCCGGTGACTCCACGCCGGCTCGACACAGCCGTGTCCGGCCTCCGCCACGCTTTCTTGACTGCAGATGGGCCGCTGAGCATCGCGGCTAACGTCTCTGCACCTGGCTGTTGTGTAGCCAGGAAAAAAAGATCCGCTTCCTCAGCCAAGGCACGGGGCTCCGTGACAGGCGTGTTGGCCAGCGCCGTCTGGACCCGGGGAGGCAAGTGAAGTAGGAAAATCCCCCCCCCCTAGCAGATTTAGCATTTTCTCCATTAGCTGAGATGGCTTGCTGTCTCCCAGGCATTGAATGTCAAGTATCTGGCGGGCTCTCTCCTTAGCAGATAAGCTAAATGTTTTAAGGAGAAGGGCCTTAATCGCCTCATATTTGCCAAGGTGTGGGGGGGCTGCGATAAATCCCACCAACCTGGACGACGCAGAGCTTCCCAGCGCTGCTACCACATGGTAGTATTTCAGGTCCCCGTCACGGACCTGTCGGCAGGCGAAGTGCGCCTCCACGTGTGCGAACCATGCCTCCACGGCGTGCTCCCAGAATTGCGGCAGCTTTATGAAAACATCGCGCTCAGCCATGTTCGTAAATTTCCCGGAAACTGTCTCGGAAAAATCAGGATCACCAGTGTGGTGCTGTGTAAAGGGAGTCGGAGGCGGTGTATTAAGAATTGACTTCCACACTTTATTATCCATTAAACTCTCGGAGGTTAATACATGAACTGCTCTGCATGACAAGCTAGCAGGAATAATTAGCTACAGCTCAGTGTTCCCACTAAAGGGTCCGTGTGGCAATACAATACAAGAGGTGAATTATGTCCAATAACGTGTCACCACAACGCTGAGTGAGTGTGTGTGTGTGTGAGGAGCTCCGCGGATTGGTCACTATGACCTCTTTTTTTATTATGTGCTACACAAATAAAGTGGATTGGATTGGATTGACCGTTACGTCACTATGACCAGGAAGAAAAAAATTGAAAAAGAAAAATCTCCAACGAGGCGTTCTGGGGCAGTATAAACAGGTATTTTCTGTGTTAGAGTTGTACTCGCTACAGGGTGTACTTTGAGGCTTTGTGACTTTGCAGACCGTTTACATGCAGAAAAAGCTACATAACATACAAGGGGACGGGTAATAACCAGAAAAGCATGTCATGGGACCTTTAAGTGTATTATCCAATCCACTTTATTTCTATAGCATATTTAAAACAACAGAGTTGAACAAAGTGCTGTACATCAACAACTGTTTAAAAACATAGCGTAAATACATAAAAAACAGACAGGACATGAAACAAATGTAAAACACGAGACAATGAAACCAGATCAGAAGCCACAGACTGAAAAACTCTCCTCCATGACGTAAAAACAATACAAAACACTAGGAAGATAAAAACCCAAATTTAACAGCACAAGTGTCATACCTGGTCTGTAAATGCAAGGGAAAATAAATGGGTTTTTAAACGAGATTTAAAAACAGGCAGAGTTGGAGCAAGTCTAACCTGGAGGGGCAATTTGTTCCATAATTTCCATAACAGCAAAGGCTCTGTCTCCTCGCTGATTTAACTTTGATTTTGGGACTACCAGAAGTAATCTGTCAGCAGACCTCAGTGACCGTGTGGGTGTGTATGGTTTTAAAAGATCTGCCAGGTACGGTGGGGCTAAACCGTTTAGGGCTTTGTATGCAAACAGTAACATTTTAAATTGGATTCTAAAACAGAGCCAGTGTAACGAGGCGAGTACAGGCGTAATATGTTCACAAAACATTCAAACCTCGTACTTTTTGCATCAAACTGCAATTACTGCTT